CTTGAAAATACAGAGCTATTTATCAATACTGTGGAGTGATTTTAAATCAATTGTTACAAGCCCGATGGAAGTATGTACTTATATGTATATGTGTAATGGTCCCTATGGGGAAACCTATCCACTTATGGATAAGACCCTTTATCTGAATGGCCAGAGAAGCCCACTCCAACTTGGTGGGGAGGGGGTCACTCAAAACCAAGGTGCAAACCAATGCAGCTTGCAAACCAACTATTAATAATTCAAACATAAAGATACTCCTGACCCTAGGTAAACAGCCTCAGCTATGGCCTTATTGTGTTTCAGGCTTTGTTCATTTGGCTTTGTGGACTTCAAAGGACAGCAAACAATTCCCAAATGAGTAGACTCGAACTCCACCCAGCAGCCCTAATGGTTTTGAATGGCCCTAAATGGTTTTCCAGTAGAAAAATTGACCGACCTGGGCTGTCTTCAACTGGATAGATTTCTGCATATGAGCAATAACATATACATACATATTATACACTATATACATGTACAGATGTACATATATCCATATTCTCCAACAGTTTGCACTTTGATCACTACCGTTCTCTGACTAGGATCTCATTCTGATGGGTATGTTTAGTTTTTCACAGTCTTCACATTTGTCCTAACTACTGGTGTTACTCACCTTCCCCATAGAGCAGGCTGGAGTTAGGCAGAAACAGAAGTAAAAGCACCAGGGTCAAAAAAATCAGACACAGAGATGACAGATATGGCTTAAGTTAGTAAGAGAAGATGTATGTTTTGTTAACTTCAAATTCATAACCACAGTCTCTGAGATCATGGTAACAACTGTCCCCATAATACTCCAGGATGTGGATTCATTTCTTGATAGAAGTCAGGCATTGATGCAACTCTTAATGCTAGCTCTCCTGGGCTAGCAAATTGGCTTGCTTAAGTTGGGACACCAGGAATTTTATTTGCACTTTTCCCCCACCACTCTCCCTTTTTTCAACTATCCTCAGCAATCTGAAGAAACAGTTGATCCTGACCGTTTGAATAAAACTAAATCTGACCACATTTTAGAATCTCCCAGCAAACAGGCTGACAAGAAAACACAATAGCCTATGAGTATTTCAGGCTTTCACGAGTATTAATTTCAAGCTTTCCATAAATGCCCCTTGAAGATGAAAATTTGTCTTAGAGTAATTGCTTTGTCTTCTCCTCTAACTTCTACACATATGGAAAAATGCAGAAATGCCTTTCATTGACAATATGGCCTATGATATTTCTGTGTTCTATTTCTATATAGATTTCTCACATGAATAATATTACCTATTAAAAATGTCTAGTGCTATGGACAAATTTCAGCTCTTTTTAACCCTTTAGAATTAACGAAACAACTGAAAATCTTATAGTTTTTAGAAAATAAATATTAACAGAGTAGCTTCCCTTTTCTTAGTGGAGTATATATAAACCTTGTCTTTTCTAAACCCACCCCAGATTTAATTATTAATTTCCAAATGATCCCTAGACTTTAAATAGTAAATAGAAAAGCCATAATGTAAATAAATCCATTGGAAGCCACATACTATGTTAGCCTAACCCAGACTCCACAGAGATGCTACACAGGAGAAAAAGGAATAAAGCCCACATTCCTCAAAACTGAAGAAGGGAGTGGTGAGTTTGCACTTTGCCTTATTACAGAGACCCCTAATGTTTGTAATATTTCCTCCTCTATCAAATTTGTGGGACAACGTTTTAGTTAATACACAGATATAACCACCATCTAGTTTATAATATCTTTGTTCCCTCATGTTCTCACAAATCTAAATTCCCACGCTCTTTCACATAGGCAAGCAAACAAGGAATGACTAACTCTTGGGCATTAAATCATGGAGAGTACGGGAAAGCAAATATGCTACTCCTGAAACACCTAATTATCTTAAAAAGAAAAAAAAAATCCAAGGTTTTCCCTCCCAAATCCAACAGTTCAATTCATTTCTACACCTGTGCATGCAATTTGCTTCTTATAATGGATGCCGGTGAGATTCTGAAGAAGTGAGTTGAGATATCAAACAATACTTTATTCTCACTTCTGCCCTTTCAGTGAGGAAAGTGGTTGTTTGAGTTCTTCTCTGTCAATTTTTCCAGAGCATAAAACTTGAGAAGAGAGAGCAGCATTGCCCTGGAGGGCATCCTACTCTGGCTCTGCCATCAGAAATACCGGAGAAAACAGTGTATTCACATAAGACCATCAGCTCTCCTAACCTTTTTCTGTAGACAAGCTTTTAAATGATTGAAATTACAGGCTAAGACCAAATAACATTTAGACAAAGAGCACCTGGTACTTCCAATTAAAACCAATTTACAGAACTTAATCTCATGAGTTTGCAAATGGTATCCTAAAATATGAGTATTGAAAACGCGGAATGTTCAAAGTTACTCTCAGTAAATTTCTTAGCACTGGCAGGGTGTAGCACTTTAAGAAAATCAAAGTATCCTTTAGACATCCCAATTACGCTATTTTTGCAACATTCCTATGAGATTAAAGTCCCTCCTCCTACCCCCCCATTCCCATTTTAACAATGGGGACGTTTGGGACAGAAAAAAACAAAGACTTTCTGTAAGAAAGGACGAATCAGGAATAACTGAGGTTGAAACTCAAGAATTCCTGGCCTCACCCTACATTCAGATGTTTTCATTTAAAAGATCTTTTAACATAAAGAAAAAAAATGCTGCAGTATCAGTCAATCTAAATACAATGAACTTCTTTATCTCCCATCCTCCCCTCTGAAAGGCACTACTATTTATAAAGGCTTTGTGAACGACAAAGCGGTGAAGCCAGCTTTTCCTCTGCTTCCTCTACTCCCCCAAGGGTGTTTATGGCTATGAGAGTCCTGAAGGACACCTCCAACATTACAATTTTTTTCCTAAAAATTTTCCCAACATTCAGCTATAAGTGCATATAAATCTATTTAATTTGAAACAAATGTAAAAGATGCAGTAAATCATTATACCTTTAAAAAATTAGTATGAGTTGTCCCTGATCTTTTCCTTCTTTCTGCATCCCACCCTTACAAAAACAAAACAAACCCCAAAACTCTATGCAATGAATATAAGCCAAGCAAGAAACTTACGCGTTTAACCAACATTAATTTTTCCCATTTCAGCTGGAAGTTCACTCTAATTCCTAGTTAAGTTTTGATTTCAAGAACTATGACGGTTATGGTGGAAGTGGAACATTTTCTCTTCTCCCCCTCTCTCTACCACAAAGTAGTAAATATCTGCCAAAACAGGTACAAGAAACTGGTTTCTAATCCTTCTTCCCTCACCACCCTTGCCCACAGAGCAACCTCATGTACATTTCCCAGCCCCACCTCCGGGGATTCCTTGTTATTTCCAGCTGGCTAAAGAGAATTCTCCAAGCAGGACTGCTACCTTACTCCTGTTGGGAGGGAGCAGGGGCTTTGCAGACAGGACACCGCTCTGTTAGTTCTCTTCAGTGACCAAGCTATATAAAATACACACCCTTTCTCCTGGAGCCTCTATTAAATTAATCTTACTCTAATGATTGTTCTTTGGCTCTAGTTAACAGAATCATACCACTTTGCATTTCTATGTCCCGCCTCTCCTGTCTCCTCACTTCCCCAACATGTGTACCTGGAGGGGAGGGGAGATTCCGCACAACCCCACACCTGGGCCGTCCCTACTCTGATGGCAACGCTGTATATAAAAGCTTTGGCTCTAACATTCTGTCAGCTGCCCTCCCACAACACGATGTCATGAACGCTCTCCTGTGCCCTCCATGCACCACCGTCCAAGGCCCTAATCTTCTCCAGCAGAAACTCAGCCCATCTCTTCCATGGTCATAACTCAAAAGGACTCAGCAGGGAGTTCTTCAGTCATTGCACACAGTGGACGAAACAGACCTTGCCAAGCCACGCTTGATGGCTATTTGGAATCCTCAGCACCTGCCCTCCGTCCTGTGACGAGCCCTAGGGACCAGGCCTTCTTCTTTTAGGCTCGATCTCACAATGAAGACATGTTTACTAAAAGGTTTTTTTTTTTTAGTAAATATGTTTTAAATTTTAAAATATCATATCAGATAGTATTTGTATATACATGTAGATTTATTTTTTTTTTTTAAAGATTTTATTTATTTATTAGAGAGAGAATGAGAGACAGAGAGCACGAGAGGGAAGAGGGCAGAGGGAGAAGCAGAGCCCCCCGCCGAGCAGGGAGCCCGATGCGGGACTCGATCCCGGGCCTCCAGGATCATGACCTGAGCCGAAGGCAGTCGCTTAACCAACTGAGCCACCCAGGCGCCCTATACATGTAGATTTAAATGGAGACTAGGGGGGTTAGTCAGGGGTGGGCTCTGAGGGAGGGCGCCTTGGTGACCCAGGGCCATGTGAAACTAGGAACCAAATATAGGTGGAATCAGTTTCCATGTATTTGGTTAATCCTAAAAATACGAAGTGCTATCTAGTCTTATTGCTTGTACTTCCTACTAATTGATTAATCTATAATCTTGGATGGGATGAGGTGGAGGGTGCATGAGGAAGGTGACTCTGAAAGCAATGGAAATGAAAGATGAGTATTTTTAATTGTACATTTCCACTGTGGGAATAAGTGTTTTTATATATTAAAGTTCAGGCTTAGTGTCCACCATCCTTTTTCATTTAGATCGATTTGTAATTCTATTGATTCCTCATAAACCCTCTGCTTGCACTTCTGTGCCGCATGCTTTTAATTTTCTCAATCCTATTATAGGAGAGAAGCAATGCCATTAAACCTAATTTGAGGACAAACACTTGAGTTATATTTTTAAGATAATATTTGCATAATAGCAATTTTCAAAACCCATCCTAGAAAACAAAGGGTGGATCATGTACCAACACACACACACACACACACACACACACACAAAACAAAAAATCTTCCCCAAAAACAAAGAAAGAAAAACAACCATGAAATGTCCAGACTGAATTTTTTTTTCCACTGGGGGGTGGGGGGAAAGGGCAGTTCATAATCACCTTGTGTGGAGAATAGGCGCCAAAAAGCAGTGTTGGCCTCAAAGTGCAATTAGTCCTTTTGGTCCAGGGAAATATCAGCGGCTAAGTGGAGATAGGTACGGCAATCACAGTTAAAACTCAATGCTCTGTCAGAGTGACGTATCAGATTTTATTCCATGGCTTCAGAAAGGACTTGGGACCAGGCCTTTAAAGGCCTATATGGCTGCCTCCTTTTGGTAAGCACCCCTTAGCTTCCAGAAGGGGTTAGAAATAAAGCAAGCCGACTTTCTGAGGACTACATTCTACGTCTGTAGAAGTCAGAAAGTGTTGTTAACGTTGTTCATAGGAACCGTAGGAAAGGTTTCTATTTGCCCTTTTGTGTGAACCTGTTATATTCATTACCTAGTTCAAACCGAGTGTAGACATAAAAATAGCCCCACAACTCTTAACCATATTTGGACTTATTTCCTGGCAGGCTTTCCTGCCGGATTAACTCTGAGCTGCCAGTGAATTTGGGGGTAGTGTTTCATATACAGAACCTATGCTAATCAAATACTTGTGACTGAGAGAAAAATCTTCTCATTCACAGATTGCAAAAGGGTCACATTGCTTTCTCTTAATGCACGGGTTCTGGTAAAAGATTTCTATACAAGATTTATAAAATGCTCTAAAAAACTTGTCATCTAATTGTGCTTAGTCAAAACAATGTAATGCTTCGGTAAATAAATTACTGTCTTAACTGGAGCACTCAAAATTACTTATGATTGATTTCATATATACCTCTATATTATAAAACTCTGAAACCTGAATGGGATATACTTTACTGTATGTGTATATGTATCCTATTAAGAAACTATATCTAAGTAATCTAAACCAGAATAGTTGACATACGTGACATCTCTGTTAAATAGAACTTTTCTGCTTAAAATTTCAGCAGGGTTAGAAACCTTTTACACTCACTACCGTGAGCTTTGGCTTTGCCCATTTCACCACTCGTTTTGGAACACACGGTTAAAATTTTATAACGGCTCATATTCTTGGTATCCTTGCCCCCTCTCTTTAATGCTCTGGGTGACTCTTTGCATCTTCCTCTCTTCTATGACCTTCCGGAAAGCCCCTGGGTTGAGGGTAATTTCACTGCTGCCCAGACCCTGAATAGCCATGGACGCGGTTTAAGAGGTCCGTCTCTCAAGCCAGAGAACTGCGTGGAGCAAATGAACAGAACTATTTACAGACATTCAGTCTTGCTTTGGTTCACACTGCACTTCCATGTGGAACCCCAAGGGCGAGGAGACGGCTACGTCCCTTGGTTCAGCCGGTTGACAATGTAGCTCTTGACATTGGGGACAGGCCGCACGTCGTTCTGGTGCTTGCGGCGCTCTATGAAGCGCGCCAGGCGGGAGGTGTCCAGGGGGATCTTGGAGTAGCTGCCGTTATGGGGCTGTAGCCAGGGATGCTGCAGGCACGTGGCTGCCGTGGGCCTCCTGCGGAAGTCTTCCTGTAGGATCACATTGATGAAGTCTCTGGCGGCGTTGCTCACGCCACAGAAGTATTCGTGCGGGAAGCTGAAGTCCACCCTGCACACATTGATACAGGTCTCCTCCTTACTCTCGTCCAAGAAGGGGGACACCCCACTCAGCATGACGTATGTCAGAACCCCGATGCTCCAGATGTCTGTGCCCAGGGAGACGGGGATTCCTTGGATCACTTCTGGGGCAGCGAACTCGGGGTTGCCCAGCAGGTGGTGGATGTGGAAGTGACCCGAGATCTGGACGGCATCCTCCAGGTCGATGAGCTTCACCCGAGGCACTGGGATGCGTAGGTCAATGAGCAGGTTTTCGGGCTGAGAAGACCCAGGCGTGAGGGAGAAGAGAAGGCAAGTTCAGCTGTCTGTCTTGACTACCAGTAGGACTCTGGTGGTTCAGACATGGTTCTGCTAGCCTTTGAAAAAGCCTATGGAGCATGAGAAATTGCCTATGCAAAGTGGCCCGGGGGCCTCCAAACTAGACCAGATTCTGAGGTGGGGTAGTGTTTCAGAGAAGCTGTTTGACACTGAAAATCATGTCTTCCCAACTACCCCTTGCTTCTGCACGGACTCAAAAACAAAAAAAAGAATGGATTACTCATTTTGGAAAACAGGGGCTTCTTTGAGAACACCATAAAAAACTGACATTTATTGGCTTCCTTCTAAAATGTTAGACGAGGCGGGAAAAGCTTCCCTACCTTCCCTCGCCCCAGATGTCGCGGTGACTCTTGGTGTGTTCTCGTTAATTCACGAATAACACACTCGAATTGTGTGACGACCTAGTTCCTGTTTAATATCTGTCAGGATTCTAACCTAAGTCAATAAAATGAATCAGAATGGACCTCCCTCAAGGGTAACGGCTGACAGGTTGGACGCGGCCATTTCCCTGCAAGGGCAGCTCTTTCTTTTTACCTTTATGTCCAAATGGGCCACCCTACAGTTGTGAAGGTACTGCAGCGCCTCCATGATGTCTCGGATGTAGAAAGCAACTTTCTCCTCCATCAGCTCATCGTGATTCATAAGGTAGTCTAAGAGCCGGCCGTCATCCATCCTGAAAGCAGGGAGGAAAGGGCCAAGGAAATACATTTGTAAAGAAATGGAAAAATAAAACACATACACATCGGTCCGAGCTCTAAAGTCTCTCCTGCTCCCCCTTATAAAGGAAGATGGATGCTGCCACACATGCGCATTTTAGGGAGAGCCCAAAACCAACGTTCAGAACCAGAATTAATTACCTAATTTAAAAGTTACACGTGTGATGTGCTCCACGGAAGAAACCTGTGTAAACCTAAGACACATCCTATGTTGTTAAAGTTAAAAACTGCTCATGAGGAAAAAGGTCTGACCCCCCCCCCCCGCCTTTAAGAGGTTAGACTGCAAAAGAGAGAAAGTCTTAGGAGAGAGAGAAAGAGAGAGAGAGAACGCTCTCTCTCAATATTCTGACGAACTGGAACCCGGTGGCTGCAAGCCACTGCAAATATGTTTTGCAAATTGCTTTTATTTGTCAGTTTCTAGTTGGGGAAAATGGAAAATGGGCAAAGTTTGTCCTTGGCAGTCTTTTTTTTTTTTTTTTTAAAGATTTTATTTATTCATTTGAGACACAGAGATACAGAAAGAGAGAGAGAGCATGAGCAGTGGGAGAGGCAGAGGGAGAGGGAGAAGCAGGCTCCCGGCTGAGCCAGGAGCCCGATGTGGGGCTCGATCCCAGGACCCCGGGATCATGACCTGAGCCGAAGGCAGACGCTTAACCATCTGAGCCACCCAGGCGCCCCTGTCCTTGGCAGTCTTGACCCTTTTTGGGATCCTTTGCCTTTTGAGCAATTTTCCAATCCTAAAAACCGTGACTGAGAACATGGTAGGGGGAGCCAGCCAGATCCAGATTTGAGTCCTGATTCTGCCACCTACGGGCTGGGGGTTTGGGACAAGTCACTTAAATCCTGTGTTGGGTTCTTCATCTTTAAACTGGGAGTAACAGCAACAGCAATACCACCTACTTCATTATGAGGGCTGAGCAAGAATCAAGTGAGACAATGAGGCATTTAAGCATAATTGGTAGCAGTCACACGTGCTCAGTAAGTAGTAAGGCTTTTCAGGCCCCCTGTGCCCTCTCTAGCATCTGGAGTGCCCAGATGTCAGACTGCTATTCCAACGTGCACTGAGCTGTCAAAGGCACATCCCTGCGAAATGCTCAGGCAGAGCAGCTTGAACCAGAGGCAGAAACCATCTTTGAGCACAGCTGAACTCCCCCCACCCCAGCCAAGTTTCCATTCTCTTCTCTAGCATGTTCCTTCCCCCTGGTCTCTTCTCCGAAGCCTAGGACCCGGCCGGGGGGGCGGGGGGGTGGGAGTGATGAGCGTGGAGTGGAGGGGGACTGGGTTTGTGAGATGCAACCCCCTACACTTCTTGCAGCGCTGCTCCAAGACCTGCAAGCCTTCGCACCAAGTTCACCCTCAGAGCTTTTGGGGAATGCAGATGCCTAGGCCCCATCCTAGCCTAGGCAATCAGAACTTCAGTTGCCTGGCAGAGAAAAGCTCTACCAGTGATTTGGGTGGCCACCAAAAGGGGTACCTCTGGTCACAGCATAACCAAGATTTAGCACAGGGTTTACCTCGGGCACTGCCTATCCACTCACCTTTCCTGAATCTCGAGTCCAACAAACACCTTCCTATGTTCTCACAGCAACCCTCTCCAAAACACGTGTTTCCTTCTCAGCATTTACCATGTTCAACTGAAATCATTCACTTAGCGATCGGTCCTCCTCATCAGACTTTGAACTCCTCAAGGGCAAGAAGCACCCCTTCTCATCTTTGTTCCTTCCAGCCTGGCCCAGGTCCACACAGCGGCTGGCACGCAGGGAGTGCTCAGTAAATGTTTGCTGAACTAGCTCAATCCACTGTTCATCTCATTTAATCCCTGGAACATCTCTGAGAAATGGAAATAATTCTTCAGACTTCACAGATGAGGACCCGAGGCCCAGGAATCTAAAGACCCTGCCCCAAATCCCAGAGCTGGGATGAGAGCCCAGGCTCTTCATTCCAAGAATGGTTTCCTTCCCTTGCACTGTGGCAGTCTGGAAATCAGCACCTTCCCCTGGAATGATGCAAGCTGGCAAATCCGAAGGGGCCAAGGTTCTGGGTCCGCCATATTACCTTGATATACAAGTGATAATACTTGTCTAATCACCTGGTATTAGGTCCTGGAAGGCTGTTTGTATTTGTTAAATCCCAAGTGACAATCGACCTACTACTACACAGCTATATAAGAGATCACAAAAGAATTATAAATATTAATAGAGTTGGTTCTGTCTTCTCTTGTTTCTTTTCAACCAATTCAAAAATGTAGCCGAAGATGTTTGCCCTTTGGCTGTCTTTTTTTCAACATAAATAAATGTATAGGTGCCTGCCTCAAAGGCCCTCATCCACAAACACCTAGACAAACAAGCACCCAAGAGCCACAGTAAAATGACAGCTGAAAAGCTGTACGTGGAGGCGCCTCTCTTGTGAACAGAGGCTCCTGTGGAGACGTACACAGCACCAGTCTTGGGCGCAGGGTCATCAGCACACATCGGATGACATCTCTATGAGGGCTCAATACTCCTGAGAGGACTTTGTTCTCTTTAGCCTCTGTTAGATCTCTGTGAACCACAGGACACGATCTCTGTTCTTAGCTTGGGGGAGGTGGGGGGAGAACGTGCTTTACTTGATGTGTTCTGGGGCCAAGTATATGGTTGCCCGAGTTCCTAGAAAATCTGGAATGAGTGGAATATTTTGAAGGTCAAGGTTCCACTTTAAAAGGAATTTCCTGGGTGGGAGACCATGGATGCCATGGCAGTGGACTGATGCTCAAACCCCTCTTGCATGTCAGGTCCACCCCTGTCAACAAGCCTATGGTCAATAAGCTCTTCCTACACCCCTGCCCAGCCCGAGAGTCCATAAGAGAAAGAACATGAGAATCCGAGGGAGAGAAATATGGGTTCAAGTCCCAGCTTCTCCATTTCTTAGTGGTAAGGACCTTCCTTATCCTTGATTTTTCTAATCTATAAATGGGAACCACATTTTTATAAAACGGACGGGAGGACGCACGTGATGTACAACACTTCGTACACCCTAAGACATGGTATAAAATGTAACTGCCATTGCCGGGGGACAATAAGTAACCCAAACAGCTGGAGACCCCCTGAGACGCCTGTACTTACAGTTCTAGAATCAGGATGTAGGACGTGGGGGACTCATAGGTGTCGTGGAGAGTGATGTACTGGGGGTGTTGCAGGTGCTGAAGCAGGGCAGCCTCGTGGGCAGCCTGCTCTTTTTTCTTCATTTTTTTGCTAACAAATTTCACGGCAACATCCTTGCGGGTGGCTTTGTGAATGCATTTCTTCACTATGGAGAAACGGCCTCTGGAAAGAGAAAGGGAGAAAGCATTTTGCTAAGCTTCCTCCACCAACGAGGTATTATTTTATTCAAGGATGTGTAAAGTTTTATCTGAAGTGGTTAGACAGTAACACTTATTAGGAATCCTACTTTCCTATTTTTTTTTAATAGAATTTTTTTTTTAATTTATTCATTTGAGACAGAGAGATACAGAGAGAGAGAGAGAGTAGGAGCAGTGGGGAGAGGCAGAGGGAGAGGGAGAAGCAGACTCCCCGCTGAGCAGGGAGCCCGATGCGGGGCTCGATCCCAGGACCTGGAGATCATGACCTGAGCCGAAGGCAGACGCTTAACGACTGAGCCACCCAGGCGCCCCCTACTTTCCTATTTTTAAATTATAATGTTATCATTCGGAAAAGCCATGTTTCCTTCCTTAGCATTTCAGGGTTCTCTGAGATGCGAAAAACGAGTATCATTTTTAGTCAATAGATTTCTCTGCACTTTGAACAGCACAGGTTCAGTTTTCTAAGCGGAGTATCTTTTTGTAAAATACAACAATAATAATAATGTTCATGAAGGAAGAATTGTAATCTATGATAATTTCAAAAACATTTTTCTAAGAGGCAATTTTTTCCTTTATTTTATATTTATTATCTTGGTATTACGGAAACTCTCTAATATACACAAAAGTAGAGAGAATAGTATAATAGATCTGTGCACCCAGCAGCCCGCTTCAGTAATTATCAGCATTTTGCCAACCTTATTCCACTATTCCTTTCCTACCTCTTGCCTTTTTTTCTGTAGTATTTTTAGCAAAATCCAGATATCATATTATTTCACTCATAAATACTTCAGTCATTTCTAATTAACAAGGACATTTAAAAATGTATAACCACCATGCCATCTTCACATCTGACAATATTAGCCACACCTAAAATAGAATGGTTCCCAGACTCAGCTGTAGCGCAGTAGGAGGTAGAAAGAAAGTGAAGTAGAAGGGGGAACTGGTCAGCAATGGGAGCAGAGAAAGGGAGTCAAAGAGGTGACAAGCAATGCCATCCCAGGCCCGTCCCTGAGGCACTCTAACCTATGAGTAGAGGACTCAACCATCCAAAGAGCAGTCCATTCCTCCAGCAGAAATGGAGACATCCAACACCACTGGCACCACAAAGATTGTCCAACTGACTCCTTGACCTGGCTCTGTGCTCACCAAGCGACTTTCAGACAATAATAGTCAGACAGTGTTTCTCCACTATAGATTTTTGACAAAAGAAGAGAATATGTTGGGATGCCTGGGTGGCTCAGTCAGTTAAGCCTCTGCCTTTGGCTCAGGTCATGATCCTGGAGTCCTGGGATGGAGCCCTGCTCAGCGGGCAGTCTGCTTCTCCCTCTCCTTCTGCCCCTCCTCCTGCTCATGCTCTCTCTCTCTCTCTCTCTCTGTGTGCCAAATAAAATAATAATAATAAAAAATCTTTAAGAAGAGAATATGCTGATCAATAAAACAACTATTGGACAAATACTAATTGAATGTCTATTATGTAGCAGACATTCTTTTTGCATAGTAAGCAAATATTTGGTAGAACTGATAGTTCTATTCTATATTATAAATTAATAAATTACCATCTTTTTTTTTTTTTTTTTAGTAATCTCTATGCCTAATGTGGGGCTCAAGCTCACAATCCTGGGATCAAGAGTTGCGTGCTCCCCCGACTGAGCTAGCCAGACACACCTTCATTATGTTTTTCTTTCTTTAACAGATTTTATTTGTTTGAAAGAGAGAGGAGGAGAGAGCACGAGTCGGGGGAGGAACAGAGGGAGAGGGACAAACAGACTCCATGCTGACCATAGAGCCTGAGGCAGGGCTCCATCTCACTACCCTTAGATCATGACCTGAGCTGAAGACAAGAGTCTGGGGCTCAACCACCTGAGCCACCCAGGTGCCCCCATTCTGGTTTTTAACAGCACTCTCTTGTTTGATTATTAGAGGTCACCCCTTCCAGAGGACTTTGGATGCATGAAAACAATTGAGTGCTAGGGAGAGCTCGCCTGAACTAAGTGGCCATGTTGAGGTGCTGCTATACCTTACTTTTTGTTTTAAAATTTTTATTTATTTATTTGAGAGACAGGCCATGAGGTGGGGGTGGGAAGGGGCAGAGGGAAAAGCAGACTCCCCGCTGAGCAGGGAGCCTGACGTGGGGCTCCATCCCAGGACCCTGGGATCATGACCTGAGCCCGAGACGGACACTTTACCCACTGAGCCACCCAGGCACCTCTATTCCTTAATTTTTTTTTAATTGTGCATATCCAAGTTATGCATCCCCATGATTTAAAAAGTCAACTAGCTTTAAGGTTTCTTATTAAAACTAATAGTATCCCATCCTCTCACTCCCAACCCCATTTTCCTTACCTGAGAGGAAGTTTAACGTATCAGGTAATTATATTTTAGCTTAGTACGGGGGTAAGTCTATGTTTGTGTGGCTACTTCTTGATGTTTCAGTTTTCATTATAATCTGTTGACACCCACTCCAGAAAGGGAGATGTTAGTCTCTCTCTCCTCCCTGTCACCACCACATGACCATTTTCCCCATCCCCTGTCCTCCCAGCAGAATGATATTTTAATCAATATTCAGTGTTTCCACTATTGCAACTAGGTCAGGGCTACTCCCAGTTGCAGCTCCAGTAAACTATGAATATTTTCCTTTTTGTGATAGAATTCGGCCTCATTTCTAACAAAGACTGCCCCTTATGAGAACCACTCAAAGATTAGTCTGGGACTAAGTCACTGCAGGGTGACCGAGTGGTTTATAGCATAGTTCTGCTCTCAAAGCCTTGCTATGCTTCTGTGGGTGTGTTCTATCTGTGCACAGCTTGAACGTAGCCCAGGATTTGTGTTGTTCCAGGCACAGAATTAGGGGATCTCCTTCTTTTAGCTCTCTTCTCACTGAGATTTCCCACACATTTTTTGGCTCCCATGGGTCCGTTTTTATAGATGGGAATCCTTCAGAGTTTTAGCTTCTTGCTTGGGTTAAAGCAATGAGAGAAAGAAGGGAGAGAGGGAAAGGCATTTTACTGCTCTCTTCAGCTCAAAGGGACCCCCTTTCCTGTCTTTTGGCCAGAAAGATGGGTTTCCTTTGGAGTTGCCCCCTGTGCATGCTGCCCAGCTCCCTGGTTTGGCCGGCCCTTGGGTTAAAGCCCAACAAACAAACCAGAGACCTCACTGCTGCTGTCCTTGACTTTCAGGTTTTAACTGGGCTCCCCATTCTCCAGTTCTTTACTTCTCAGAATCCTGAGGTAGTTGTTTTTTTGTATTTTGTCCAGGGATTCTGGTTCTCATCAGTGGGAGAGATAGGCCACAGTGGGCTTACTCTGTCTTGGTGGGCACTGGAAGTTGGCTCATTCTAAAACTTGGGGACTAAACAGTGTTTGGAAGCTCTGAGTGGAGGGGGGGAGGGGGGCGGAGAGCCTGTCAATTCGACCTTCACTGTAGGGTGATCTGAGCGAACAGTTTAGTGGGGAAAGCTCTAAAGTCAGTATCTTTAAGACTTTCTTCTTGGGCTGGTCAGATTTCCCAGAGAAAGATCCTCCTACTTCCTGCCTAGACTGTGAAGCTGCGGTTGTCCACTTTTGGAGGCCGGGGGGTTGAGAGAGCTGGGGTCCTGAGTATCCAGCATGGATATAGTCTCCTAAGGGGTCTGTTTGCCGGAAGGTTCTGCTGCCCCCAACTGTGCCAGTGTCTCTGAGAACAGAGGCACCTGTCTAGAGGATGGACCTGCCCCCGCTTCCTGCATGGGGAAGGGTGATCGTACCGCTGCCTGTGGCCAGGGACGAGGCCCAGAGCCACACCCTCTCACACAGAGTTTCAGGCACTCCTCCCCACTTCAGCAGCCTCTTGTCACCGGTTTGCAGAGGTACTTGATGTGGCCAGTACCCCGGCCTTTGGGGAATTCTGCTGCAAAAGTTGCACAGGCTCTCACTTGACCCCATGGCTGACTTGGACTGAGTTCCTAAGGTCTCCTAGGTCATCTGTCACTCTTTCACTTGTTTTCTGCTTCGAATATATCACTAGTTGTCTCTTCTTCCTGTGTCCTCATCCTTATGTGCCTGATTAGAAAAATTCCTTTAGTGGAGGTTCAGTGAAGTCTCAGGAAGGAGTGAAAACAGATGGCTGGGTTCAACCTGCCATCCTTGCCTAGAGGCCTGGCCCTGCTACACTTTTGGATCCCGTACAGGTCACCAGTCAGCATTCCTAGGGGACAACTCTCTGGCTTCTTTACATTGCCGTGGTGCCCATTTAGTTTATTTCCAGCTAACCGTGCCATGCTCAAGTGCTCTTTCCTTCGGTAGGTGGACTTTAGGAGCAAAGATACTTCTTTTGGCACCATGGTTTTTATACTATTTAATTACCAGAGAGCTATTTTTAACAAGATGGTCATATAGGCCTAGAATTCTAGGTTTCAGTGCAATGGAGAAAGTTGACTCACGTCTATGGCCCACAGACACCTTCCGTGTGTCTCACATCAGTATCTGCATGTTTTGTTTCCCTTCTGTTCACATACAGCGTTTTTAAAGGATCTCCTGAAAATAGGAGGACTGTACTTGGAGGAGAGGAAAAGCTTCAGATGGTTGGGGATGAGATTTTTTTTAAAAAAACATCGACTGCCTTGAACAGATCAGAAACTTGATCTCCCCTTTGGGAAATACTAAAACATCGTCTCTTCTAGGTGAAACACGCCTTCGCCTGTGGCGCTCAACAGCAAATGCTTGTCTTGGGAAAGCAATCCCGGGTGCCTCTAGGCAATACAACCAGTTTCATTTAGAACCAGGTGGGGATTCGATTCATTACAGGAGTTGTACCTAGCTTCACAAAACCTCAGAATAATGGGGCAAACTAGATTTCAACGGCTAGAGCTTATTTTTGACAAATATTGCTACAGCGAGAAACCACATATGTTTGTTTTACTAAAACAAACACAGGCTTAAGAATTGGGTAGGTCAGGGTTAGAATCCTGGCTCTACATTTGCTAGTTTCAAGACCTCGAAAAAGTGACTTAACTCCCCAAGCCTGGGTTCCTTTCCTGGAAATCTACTCAAACACCACCTCGCGATGTGGTAAGGATTACGTTAAATATCTCTCATATAATATCTGCATAGTATCTGCAACATTATAGATACTCAATAAGCATCATCATCAACACCATGTAAATTTCCATTGGCCTTTTTTGCCCCCTCCGGCCACACAAAGAAGAGTGAAAGGAGAGCGAAAGTTGGTTTTTTTTTTTTTTTTTTTTTTTTTTTTCGAAAGTTGGTTTTTGATGAAAGGTATTATGATGAAAGGTTGTGAATTACATTGGGACTCCTGCCTAAGAAATGGGAATAGCAAACATTTGGGCTCTTTCCACAACCTCTGTCACAACGACCCCACTCAGGAAATGTTATGCTTCATTGAGAGACGTCAATCAGAGATAGAGATGATGGTAATGGCCCACTGTTAGTGGATGCTCTTTTATTTACACATCCAGGTGGGGGTGGAGGACTTGTAAAAGCTCCCCACCCTCTCACCTAGACCACACGCAAACCAATGCCCACATAGAGATGATCCTCCATTTTGTTTCTTTCCATCAACTATTTTCGGGGACAGGTGATAGATTTTTTTTCATTGTTTTGTTAAAAGTCATATTTTTATCTTTTTATTTTTGAGGACATGCTTTTCTAACTAAAATAGAGACAAAGAGACAGAGAGATTGTGTGTGTGTGTGTGGGGGGGTATGCGTGTGTGTGTAGGGGGGGACTGGACTGGAAATATCCATAAAACAATGTGATTGGGCTTGACATATGGACATATATAGAGACCCGAACCAAAAATTAGTGATTATACCTTCTTCTCAGGAACACATGGAACTTCTAACAAAAATTGACCCTGTACTGCAAATAAAGCCAGTCCCAACAAAAGTCAGAGTCAGTATCACATAGATCAAGTTCTTCAACTACAATGTAATTAAGTTAGACATCAGTAACAAGAAGATAATTTGTAAAAATCTCATACAGCTGGAAATTTTAAAGTATTTCGATTACAATTAGGTCAAAGAAAAGAATCATAGTTGAACCGAATGATAATGAAAGTGCCACATATCAGAACTCAGGAGATGTAGCTAAAATTGTATTTTGAAGAAGAGGCTGAGCCTTAAATTCTTGTATCAGAACAAAAGAAAGGCTGACAGTTGACAAGTGGAGCCTCCCCTCCAACTTAAAAAGTTAAAAAAAAGAGCGATAAAAATACACATAAATATTCTAGTTTTTTTCTTACTATAGAGAGAATACACTTAGGAGAAACAAACAACACTAAAAGCAAGTCGTTATTCTGATGTGATGATGTTAAGTGCCCATAAATGAAGGAATAGAAAAACGGGGTCATTACCTTCCAATTTCATTCAGCTCAGTATAAGCTGAATCAAAATTTTCCTTCCAAGAAATGGTGGCACCATCAGCAGCAGCATCTTTGGAAGAGAGAGAATCCATTTATGATACTGAGGAAGTCATATAAGAATAAAGAAAAGATTAACAGAAAATCTCCTTCATTGCCCCAAACCAACTCTTGTGACCAAATATGGGGTCTAACTCAGTGGGAAAATGCCAGGACTCTCTGAAATGTTATTTTTAAAAATATCATCCAACAGCAAGCTGACATGAAAGAGTCGGACCCCCTCCCCCCGCCCCCCCGCCCCCACTGTGCCATCTACATAAACAAGAGAAAACTTGGGACAATCAGAGATGTAACCTCTGGGTATTTTAAAAGAGAAATTTGGTAGAAAAAAATTAGAAGGAGAAAAACACATGGAAGGCCTAGAAAAGCCAGTGAGAATCAGAGCTGAGGGGGGGTGCAGTGGAGGTTAGGGGAAGAGTTACAAGGGCCCAGAGAAGGAAAGGAGAGGAATATGCTCAAAACATCCTAACCACTGCTCTGTCAGCCTGCTGCCTCAGACAGCGATGAGCTTAGCTGGTATACATTACCTTATATGATGTGTTAATTCCCTGGCAATGATTTATACACACACACACACACACACATACACACACGTGTGCAAGCATGCACACCAATACATATTTGTGCTGTCTCTTGGGACCAAGGCTCACGAGAAGGAAGACATGAGGCAGAATTTAGTTAGTGGCTTGGGAGGAGAGTACTGAGCTGACAGCGAGGCTCTTCTGACCCGGGCCGCCTCAGGCCACCCAGAGCACAGCTGGGCTGAGGCTCAGGTGTCTTATCTATATGGAATTCTGACAAAACGGAGACCCAGGGCCAAGGTTTCCTGGTGAGTCATGGGTCCAAGGGAGCAAGGCCACTGGGAGGGAGCTGAGCCCCTGGGGACGGGCTGGGGAGCACTTCCAGAGTCAGTGGGGGTTGGGGGGGCTGGGCTGTAGCTGAAGGCCCTAGAAGGCTTCTGAAGCTCCTCTGGAGACTCTGGGATCCCCTTAACCCAGAGACATACAGGTCTGTTGTCTTTCTAGGGCAGGGACCTCCTCCTCCACCCCAACACACACAACCCACTCCTTGTACCACGGAATACCTCATGACTTGGAGATTTCTTCAGGCTAACAAGTGTCCTCTTCCAAAATGTTCTTGGGACCAAGGGGGTGAGACAGCGAATAGGTGGTATTTGTAAAATACTCACGTGTAGCCAGTTATAGGTGTATCTTAATTATCCAACACATCCACATAAAAATGTATCCACCTTGAGGGGCGCCTGGGTGGCTCAGTCGGTTAAGGGCTTGCCTTTGGCTCAGGTCATGATCTCAGGGTCCTGGGATTGGGCTCCCTGCTCAGCTGGGAGTCTGCTTCTCCTTATCCCTCTGCCCCTCTTCCCATTCATGTGCATGCTCTCTCTCACAAGTATATAAATAAAAATCTTAAAAAAAAATGTATCTACCTTAAAAAAAGGACATTCTGGGAAGGCTTGGGGTGGCCAAACTATCAAATACTCATTTTGATGCAAATCCTTCAAGCAGCTTGCTTTCCTCTCCCCAGCTTAAACTGGTAAACGGGGCTGTCTCTAATGCTGTGAGGTACACTTACGCCTTGCAGGGGGTCCCAGGGGAGAGGAGGTTTGGTGCCCCCATCTAGGAAAAGGGGCAGACAGCATCCAGGTGACTCACGACTCCTGCCCGCCCCTCTCTGTTCCCGGGGACCCACGCGGGTGCCCAGGGACCCTGGCAGGCCCGGGGTAGATATGGGTGGCAGACCTCACTTTTGCTCCAAGATGGTTGAAATCACACTTTTCATCAGGTCTCTGAAATGTTACTTGACGGAAGCCACTGGCAAATGCAGGTCACCTCCTGCGTGGTGGCCTGCCATGCCAACGGCCAGCCGGCACCAGCGAGGGTGTGAGCTGCCCAGGCACCTTGCCGCCCCCGCCTGGGGTGCTGGGCATGGCCGGGACTCACCGTACTCGGGGAGTCGCACAAACTCCGAGGGCTCGCTGGGAAGGCTGATCCCCCAGGGGTTACTGGCGCTGACTCGGAACTGATAAGGACTCCCAGGACTGAGGTCCTCGACGACAAGGTAAGTGTCCAAGGTCGAAGCCACCGACTGCTGCCAGGCCTGGGAACCTAGCGCACGATTTCCGAGGACAGGGAAAGAGAAAAAGCCAGAGGGACATTGTTTCAAAGACCTTCAGCAAACAAAGAAAAGGAAGTTGACACATTTCCATTCAAGGAACCGTTGTGGTTGCTGATTGGGCTCGGCAAGGCTGTGGGCCAACTGTGGCAGGCTTGGGCTCCATTTTCTAAATGACTGAATGGATCATGAGGGGCGGGACAGCAGCTGACCCAGGGACGCCGCTCATTCCCAGACGGGCATGTGTGAGGGTGAGAAGGCGGAGCTCGTGCAGAATTTACAGAGGACCGTGCGGCCACTCGTTAACAAGGCACAAAAATATACCAGAAATCACAAGATGCGAGACTATATGCGTTTGGAAGTGGAAACAAACTAGAAGTGAACAAGCACTGAGCACTCCATGCACATGAAGTGCTGTGCCAGGCGTCCACGTGATTCTCCCATTTCACTTCCACACTGAAATCCCCAGAAACCCTGCGGGGTTGGGAACAGGAGGAACTGAAGCTCAGAAAGATGAAACGATCACTGTGTGAACATGATGAGCTAAGAACTGCACAGTGCGGAGGAAAGCACTAGCTTTGAGAGACGTGTCCCCCGGCTCAGCTCGGACACCTGTGTGCTGAGCGGGGACGCCCAAGAGCGAACAGCTTCACAAAGACGCAGAAGTAAACAGCTTTGTAACTGCACAGGGCCTGCTCGGCAGAAGAAAGAAGAGTTGAGATGCTATGAGCAACGGCGAGTACAACAAATGATTTTGGTTCTGGGCACGAACGGTGGCTGGAAATTCAGCTGTGTAATTCATTACGCGGTTCAGAGATGTGTTATTAACAACTAGAGCTAGCTGGCAGCTTCTTATGTAACTAGTTCTTCTTGATAATAGGCCACAGGTTCAGGTGTTTCTGACTGCTGAACTATGTATGCACTCTCAGCATGTAAACGTAACAAATTTAAACAACGAACAGCTTTTTAAAATCATTATACACATGTATGTATGTAAAATTGAGAGGTCACACAAAATATATATGCAATCTCTATTTATATATGTGATCTCTAACTTTTATCTGGGGGTGGGGGTAAAGCTCTGCTCCTGCTACCCTCGTTTTCACTCTGGGAGAAAGATCACGAATTCACAAACTTGACACCTGGGTTTAATGCCAGCCATGATTCTTACTAATGCCTGCCTCGGGTTCCTTAACTTTCTTTAGGCCTTAGCCTCCTCATTTGTAAAATGGGCCTGATTGCCCCTGTCTGGGGAATAGGGCTTATTAAGGGCAGAAGCGCACACGAAGGCACTTTGAAATCTGCCAGGAGTCATCAGTTTGGGGAAAACCACTGCTTGAAGTTAGAGATCAGAAGGCGGCTGTAGTCCGGCACTGAGGTCTTTATGCTGAGTTGGAAGACACAAGAAGGAACAGCTGATGAAAGGCATGCAGGTAGTTTATGACTCTGAAGGACCTCCCCTTTTGAGGAAGGGAAGAAAGAAACTGAAAAGGAGGGGGTAGTAGGGGGAGCTGGTGCACCTTCTTCTCTGTACTCCACGGTGTAACCAGAAATTGTACAGTTTCCCGTGCTGGAGGGAGGCAGCCAGCGGAGGATCACGGAGGTGCAGCTTCTCTCCTGGGCGATGGGGCGGTTAGGGGCCGCTGGAACACCTTCGCAGACAGAAGTTATGGTCAAGCGCTATTTCTGCAGAACTTGGCATTTTGCACCAACGTTGAACGTTTCCTAGGAAACATGACCTTCCCCATGTCTCACATTTTTCCTACGGCCCTTTCCACCAAGTGGCACACCTTTCTCCAGGCTCTGGAGAGGCCTGGCAGATACACTGTGGGGTTAGAAGTTCTTCCTTGGGCTAAAGACTGCACGCTGGAGATAAAGCTTGACCCGGAAACTATGCAGATAAGTTATGGCGGGCCACGGAGTGCTCTTAGCGAAGACTCCTTCTCTCCCCTTTGCTGGACTTTGGGATTTCACAATGAACATTTTCTTCCCCAGGTCTCAGGGAATCCTTGTAATGTCTACTTAAAATACTTGATGAACATAAATTCATAGAGATAGGAAGTAGAATGGTGGCTGCCAGGGGCAGTGGGGAGGGGGGATGGGGAGCTGTTGTTTAATGGATATAGGATTTAGTTTTGAAAGATGAAGAGTTCTGGAGATTGGTTGCACAATAGTATGAATGTACTCAACACTACAGAATGTACACTTAACATTGGTTAAGATGTTCAATTTTATGTTACGTATATTTTACCATAATAAAAAATATTTTAAAATTATAAAAGGTGTTTGACGAACAAAGAGCCTGTACCTTGCACTTTAACTGTAGCAGACGTAGACGCGGTGCCGTGGTCATTTGTTGCTATGCAGGTATAAATCCCACTGTCCTGGGGCATCAGATTGCAAATCTTCAGGGTGATTTCCCCCGAATCACTAGAAACACCAAAAGGATGCTCCTCAGACTCTAGTAATGTCACAATTGACTGATGGGTAAAATCCCATAGGGTGGGCACATGGTGTGCTGAGCTGAATCCTCAGGCCCAAGGTCTCGTCCTAGCGCTGGGACTTTCCTGTACACCTTGGGTGATCACCTTGTCTTTCTATATTCCCATTTCTTTATGGGGGAAATTCTTGCCTCTCCTATGTCGCATGTTTGTTGTATATAGGGTATAGGGATAGAAAAGGAGTAAAACGAGATAAGAATTAGAACATGGTTTGAAATATATAAAGCCCTATGCAATATTACTGGTATTATTACCACTAGCAACTTTGTCCTAAAATATTCTCAGTCTCATAGAACAATAACAAATGGTACAAGAAATTGGAGGGGCAACTGGGTGGCACAGTCGGTTAAGCGTCTGACTCTTGGTTTCAGCTCAGGTAGTGATCTTGGGATCCTGCGACTGAGCCCCATGTGGGACTTCATGCTCTTCATGGAGTCTCCTTGGGATTCTCTCTCTCTCTCTCTCTCCCTCTGCTCTCCCCCCCCCAACCCTCGCACACGCTTGCTCGCTCTCTCTCTCTTACTAGGGTGAATAAATCTTAAAAAAAAAAAAAAAAAGAAGGGGCACCTGGGTGGCTCAGTCAGTTAAGCGTCTGCCTTCTCTTTGGCTCAGGTTGTAATCCCAGGGCCTTGAGATCGAGCCTCACTGCTCCGAGGGGAGCCTGCTTCTCCCTCTCCCTCTGCCCCTCCCCCCCACTCCTGCTCTCTCTCTCTCTCTCTCACTTGCTTTCTCTCTCTCTCTCTCAAGGAAATAAATATTTTTAAAAAGATTTAATAAAAAACAAAAGAAAATGGAACAACTGAGAATGAAAATGTTTAAGTATTTCAAATTCTACTAGGGGACCCTCAGAACAATTAAGTGAATTAAGTAAAGGGCAAATTCCACCACTAAATGCTAACTTCCCTAATAGTCCTAGTCTGGGGGCCAGGATGTCACAAGGGAAGCACTGCTCAGAAAGGGTGAAATGCAGCAGTCACCGTCAACCCCACTCCCTCCCCGATGTGGAGACATATACAGCCTATGGCCCTTCGGGACCCTCACCAAGCACTGGCTCTCACGCTAAGTTCCATGGGCCCACTGATCTTAGGACCTGGCTACTCCCGGCCATCTCTGCTGGGAATACCGTTTCATATGCATAAAAATTAAGTTAATGGATGGGAGTTTGATTCTAGGTGATTCTTTGATAAATGCTTAAGCACTTAGGGCTCGTTACTGCTTGTCCACTATAAACAGTAGTTAGGGGGCGCCTGGGTAGCTCAGTCGTTAAGCGTCTGCCTTCGGCTTGGGTCATGATCCCAGGGTCCTGGGATCGAGCCCCACGTCTGGCTCCCTGCTCCGCGGAAGCCTGCTTCTCCCTCTCCCACTCCCCCTGCTTGTGTTCCCTCTCTCGCTGTGTCTCTCTCTCTGTCAAATAAATAAATAAATAAAATCTTTAAAAAAAAAAAATGGGCGCCTGGGTGGCTCAGTCGTTAAGTGTCTGCCTTCGGCTCAGGTCATGATCCCAGGGTCCTGGGATCGAGCCCCGCATCAGGCTCCCTGCTCCGCGGGAAGCCTGCTTCTCCCTCTCTCACTCCCCCTGGTGTTCCCTCTCTCGCTGTGTCTCTCTCTGTCAAATAAATAAATAAAATCTTAAAAAAAAAAATAAACAGCAGTTAGTACACAATGAATACTAACAGAATGATTGGGAGGCAGTCAACCAAGTTTTTTTTAAATACCCTTTCTTTATGGAAGCATGTGTATGGCTGGATTTTCTGTTTAACATTGCGTATTTTGGAGCGAGTCTTTTTCTTTTCTTCTAGGAAAATTGTTCTTAGGTTAATGGAAGAATTCAATAGATCACTGTTTCACAGGCTCCTGACAGGCACAAAGAAACCCCAGGATGTTGGGATGTGAGACCCACATTCCTCCCACAGGTCTGGAGCTTTTGCCCCTACTAAGGACATAGAGAGTCCCTTGGGGAGCCTTCGGGAAAGATCAGCCAGTCGGGGGGATGTACGTCAGTGACTGTCAAAGCTCTTCAAAAGCATGGTTCAGGCTTGACCTGAGATATAGAGGTTTATGGTTTTTTTTTTCTCCAAAGATTTTATTTGTTTGACAGAGAGAGAGATAGCGAGAGAGGGAACACAAGCAGGGGGAGTGGGAGGGGGGGAAGCAGGCTTCTGGCCAAGCAGGGAGCCCGATGCGGCGCTTGATCCCAGGACCTGGAATCACGACCTGAGCCGAAGGCAGACGCTTAGCGACTGAGCCACCCAGGCGCCCCTAGAGGTTTATACTTTTATTTATTGAGTGTGGGTGCAGAATGCAGTCTTGCCAACTGTCCTTGTAGGTTCAGGTACGTCTCTGTGATGCCAAGCAGCACGTGAGCATGCGGGGGCCCTCACGCAGTGTGGCAGGCTGGGTGGCAGGGCGCAGCGAGCGGAGGGGCCATGTGAGAGCACTGGCACGAGAGCACGCTTTCCCGAGCCGCCCGCAGAGGTTGACTCCGTTTCTCTCCTCATCAAGGCCAAGTATTTGCGCTAGAATAGGCCCCAGGGCAGCTGTCCCCCGGAGAGGCTAAGTGCCCAGCACGGAGGCTGCACCAGGGTGCGGGCGGTGTCCACGTGGGGCGCTCAGCTTACCAGGAGGAGACGGTGGATGTGGCTGAGCTGTTGTCCGTGTCAAGGACGTTCTGGTCTGGCCCCTTCCAGGTGATGGTGGGCTTCGGCCGCCCACAGACTTTGCACTGCAGTGTCACCGTGTCCCCAAGCAAGCAGGTCACATCCACTAAGGGCACAAGGAATTCTGGGGCCACTGTGGTCAGATTGACATAAATCATCATTTAGAACAAACAGAATAAACAGCCATTTCCCAACACCACCCTCTCCTGCCCCCCACGTGTCATGATTCAAATAACCTTCAGCTTAATGCTGTTGAGTCATCCGTGTCCCAAGAAGTATTTTAAAAATAATAAATGTTTACTTCAGAAAATCAGGAAACACAGATAAGTAAAAAGAAGAAAAGACTCCATGATGTCCTGATACAGAGGTAACTACTGCGAACATTTTGGTCTATGTCCTTTGGGCTTTCATCAATACCCTTTTCCTTACACAAATCACACCTATTGCAAGTTGTGGTCTTTCCCACCCCAGCAGTTTATCATGAACGCCCTTCCTTGTCCATAGCTCGGAACCACATCACCATTATTTACAGCCTCTTCCTCACTGCTGGGTTTGCCACAATTTATTTAGCCAATCCCCACATTCTTGATTCTACTTTTTAACTCACCTTCTTGGATGAAATTTGGATTTAAGATCTGAAAAACACAAAGAAACAGAAAATTGCTTAAATCCTAAATTACTGAGAAACAACAGGAGACTTCTACCCTCTTGAGTAAAAAGGAAGTACAGTTTCAGGAGACGAAGCCTGGAGGCCAGGCTCTCTTGCTTGCGACTGTGTCAGCATCTCAGTAACAACTCCGAGCACCTGCTGTGCTTCCCTCTCTACTCTGGTTCTTCACGCTCCTCTGGGTGGCCCAGGGTCCCAGGCAGGTGTGTCATGACTGCGAGCTCTGCTGGCTGCAGCTGGCCTTTCTCTCCCGCGTTTCACTTCCTCCGTGGCTCTTCCTCCCTGTCAAATGCATAAAAGCCCTGCTCCCTGCCCCGCTTCAATCTGAGCTCGAGCAATGTGTTGGCACCGGGTCTTCCCGGCGTCACGGATTTTCAAAAACAGAGCACCTGACCTGGATCAAACTGCAATGGTCATTGACATTAAGCACTAACCATTAACCCAATGGTTTCCTTCCAGATGTAGCCCTCCCCCACCAAACGGGGGAACGTTCTCTTCAAGCAGCTACATGCAGAGCTTGTGTGGTTGCAGGGGAAAGGGAAGGTCATACCCGTCCATCCTGTCCCCAGCATAGAGCAACTTGAAAAGCACTGACCTAGGGGTTCTAGCCCTTCATGCTGCCTAGGTGAAAACACGGACTTAGGCCAACAAAGTGACCTGACATTTGCATGGCGGGTTGGCAGAGACACTGTGGGGGCTCTTGACACACATCGTAAAGGCTGCCTCGTGACCCCATGGATCTTCACAGAAGATGGACTTCTGGCCGACTAGCCATGCTGAAAAGTCACCCCTTCTTGATTTTTCTCTCATCTTTTGTTTTACCTCTCATCACGGAGTGCAGGTTATAAAGCTTGGCGGGGTGAACGAAACATGGGTTTCGGAGTCAGAAGGGCTGGGGCTCACCTCCTTTGTTTTGGGTGATAATTACTTAAGATTTATTACATCAATTTCCTTCCCTATAAAATGGGGATAACTAATACCTATTGCGAAATGTTATCACAAAGATCAAATGAGTAATATATGTCAAGTGCTTGACACAATGCTTGACAAGTAAGTATTCAATGACTACTTAAGTAAAGAAAGATGATCTAATTCTAGTCATCTTCTTTCTGCTAAGCAGCCTATTGTTACAGTGCCTTTTCTCTAAGAGTTTATGTTGTAAAATTCTTCTCTCCTTCGTAAATGAAGCCAGACAGCTCACGTGCCTCACAAATGGCCCACTGGGGCCTTCATACTTATCTCCCCATACTTACTCCTGTCGTATGTGAACCCGGTTTCTGTCTGTTCTTCCCTTAATCAGGATCCATGTGAGCCCTTTGGAACAAAGATGCTATTTTCCCCCTTTGGATTCCCCTTTGCAAACCAATTGCCCACATATAGCACCCAGCTTTTTCATAAAGTGAGCTGTGGAAAACCCTTGTAATGCCAAGTCCTGGGGCTGTCAAGTCTTGAGACTGACCTCAGCAGTGCCCTCTGCTAGTCTTAAAGGTCACATACACCGCTGCCCGGCCTTCCTTTAAATCAGTGGTTCTCAATCCTTAACCCTGGCAGCTTTAAAAACATGACAAGACCAATGCCTGGACCTCAGGCCTAGAGATTCTTTTAGCTGGTGTGAAGTGGGGCCAGACATCGGGATTTTTGAAAGCTGCCTCAGGGGAATCAATGTGCACCCTGGTTTGAGGAAAGCCGCTGAAAGCCCCCTCTATCCAAGGGAACTGGTCTCAGGTAAACCAACTCCCTGCCCCTGAGGCTTTTCTGGGGTGGGGCGGTGAGATGTGGGGGCATTTGGTAGAAGCTGCCTTTCGCACACCTAAGAGACCCCCGCTTCATGAGGAGACATGGGGCTGTGGCAGGGGGACAGCCCGGGAACACGGTGGGCAGCACCCCATCACTTGTAGTGATGTTGAGGAGGCCACAAAGGTCCCCCCTGGCTTAGCCAAGGCAGAGAGAACGACATCGGCACCAGTCATTTCACAGTCCAAGGAAAGGAGATGAAGAATATTTTCTAAATGTTATCAGGGCTTATCACAGAGTGGCGAGATCAAGGGTGGCTTTTCCCCCATTCAAAAAACATTGTCTCCTCCTCCAGGCTGGTGCAAGCTTTTATGGATTTAGAGACGTTAGGATGGAGGCTCTACCCTCAGGATTTATAAAATGTCTGAATTTCGGGTGATTTTTTTCTTTCTCTTCTTACCTGGGCTTTTCAAATATCCTGTAGTCCTTATGTTTCACTTTTATAATCTTTTTCAAAGGAAAAGAGGGCACAGTCAGAACTACTAGACTGTAGGTTCCTCAAGGACTGGACCATGTTATTTTTCTTGTATCTCAGGCCCCTAGCCTGGCTTCTGCTGCAAAATGGGCATTTAATACATGTTGGTTGAATGAATATTTGACCTTTGTCCTCATTCCAGTTCTTCTAAGAATTGGGGATGGCTCATAAATAGAACCTGGAACTAGGTCCATACGATCTATAAAATAATTATTTCAGGGTGTATTACTAATAATATTTGATCAGAGTCTGTTTTCAAACACAGATGGAAAGCGAACTTTTGGGAAAATGATGAAAAAAACAATAAAGTCCATTGCCTCTGAGAGAGGAGGTTCTCAGCGGCGTTCCACTTGCGAGGGAATATAAACTCCAGGAGTGGACAAAGCATATCGTATCCAGACCCCAAGCCAGACATACTCTCTTGCCTTGGACATTCTTAAGCAGCTTAGGCCTCAGTTGTAGCTGTAAATTGGGGATAATGTTGCCCACCGGAAAGCTTGTTTGATGCAAGGGCTCATTTGTTCCGATAAAGATGTACTGAGCTGCCCCTTGGTTGTGGCCTGCAGTGAGCAAGGCAGACATGCTCTTGGGCCAAAAGTCTGGTGGGGAAGACAGAATTCAGTGACCTCTGCACAGCGGCCAGTATGGTGCCTGGCTGATGTTAACAACCAGCCTGAAACAGACACAGAGCACTGTCTTCTCCCTTGCCCCACCTCCCCCGTCAGGACTTTAGGGTAGAAACGATTTGGGAATCCTGCCAGCTCTGTCCAGTGGCCTGTATTTCCCATCCTGATGGGAATCCACAAGGGAGTAAGATAGTGATCACATGCCAGGAGTGACAGGGAGGAGACAAATGGCCCGTTTCTCCATTATAACATTTTAAGTGGGGTTTCATAACTCTGCACTGCGGTAGTACTTCTATAAAACAGCACCCCAAACTGCTGTGTAGGGAATTTCTTGCCTTATTCCTCTTTCCCATCACTCCCAACTGCGTGAGGAATAAGGCAAGAAAGTAGCTCCTTACTTTCCACGGTTCTTATTAAACACATAGTTTAAAAAGCAAACCTTCCTAATTTGGAGGTAGACTTAGCGGGAAGTTGGAGAGAAAGGTTGCCAACAAGGCTTACTTGCAGGTTCTCTATCTGGAAGGGGCTTGTGGAAGGCATCAGTCTTCATTCCTCTGCCTCCTGGCCTACCCAAGCGTTGCCGATAATGGTAATAACACCAGTGATTTGTGTCACATCATGTAGTTGGCATAGACCACTCACAAACTCCTTCATTTGCTCATCCCAAACTCTGGGAGGGTGTGCCAGGCAGATGCTATTGTTCCTATTTCCAGATGACACAGGGAAGTCCATGTGAGGTCACATGTGCTCCTTCCACCATAGCATTCCGTGCACAGGCAAGGTCTTGGAAAAATCGTTGTGACACGTTGTCCTTGCTGTCGAAAGCCTACCTACCTTTGCTCCCTAACCTTGATCTCCGTCCCATTTCTACCTAGTCCTCCCCTTTAAACTCCTCTAGCAAGGACCAAGAGCCTGGCTGAAATTCATGCTAATGCTTTTCTAACTTTGACTCTGGATTATGCCCATGGAAGAGTCCTCCCTCGTTTTACTCTTTCTACTTTGAAGCAAGTTGGAATATGGACTGGAGGAGGGTCACGACAGCCTCCTCACACTGCAGTGGAACAGCCTAGGTATTTGTCTATGGCTCCCTGTGGACTACAAGGCCCATGTGGGCAAGAACCTTGCTCACTGTTATTGCCTCGGAGCCTAACACAAAACCTGGCACATAAGGGCTCCACAGGTATTTGCCAAATCCATCCATCCATCAGTCAATCAGTCAGTCAAGGGGTGGGATCCTAATTTGGTGCGAGTTGAGAAAATGTCTTGCCATGAACTTGGAGTGTTTTCCTATTTCCATCAATTGGAATGTGACTTGCTCTGGAATCTCATCAGTCAGTCCATAACTAAGAGTTAGCTGACAGTGATCTTTTCCTCCTCCCTGCTCTTCTGGAGGTTGGTATCTATGGCTCTGCTCGTGCTTCTATTATGTCATCTTCCCTGCATGCTATTACCCTACCAGACTCATGAATCCTTTGAAGATAGTAACCCTTTAACATGTTTTATGCACCATTAAGTCATGCTGCCTACCATAGCATCTTTGCACATAGCAGAAGCCCACGTATTTGTTGAATCAAATTAACTCACCCAATTAGTAGACTAGAATCTAGGCCTCCTGACCACCTTGTCTAATGATCATTGTTGGTGTGTGCCGAGACCTGAGATATCAGCCCCGGGGCTGGGAGGGGTAATCATAAGCTACACACATTTCTTGAAACCTAATATTTTCCTTCCTTAGAAACAGTTTGAGAGTCCGTGGAGAGCGGTAGATGGGAAAGAGGAGGGAACTGGAATCGAAATGGATGTGGTAATGGAGGCAAAATGACACTGTTGTATAAAATGCTCATGTTCTCTCTCTGGGAGACGCAAACCCAAGCGGTCGAGGCTGGTAGAGCAGGGCTTGGGAATCTGCTTTTATTTGAACAGCAGAGGGCGGCAGGTGGTCACGTTTCCTCCTTGAGAGAGCGAAGGGAACCACCACAATGTGGTCCACCAGCTACTTAGTTTCTTCCTTCTGGAGAGAATTCCAATTGTTTTCTTCAAAATGGGAGGGCAGTGAGGTAACGGGAAAGAGTT